CAGGCTGGTTTCGAACTCCTGAGCTCAAACAATCCGCCTGCCTCGGCCTCCCATAGAGCTAGGATTACAGGCGTGAGCCACCACACCCGGCCAAAAGTATATTTTTGAGTACATCTGCAAGATTTGATATTGGTGTTCTCATTTTTTTCTAAATCACCTAATCACTATAATTTTGATTTGCCAGTTATATTCAATAACTGGAAAATCAAAATTATAATCATTAGGTGATTTAAGAAAAAAATTGTGAACACTAGCATCAGACCTTGCAGATGCAACCAAAGGTAAATTCAGAGCCAAGTTTGTAGTTTATATTCTTTATAAACTACGTATATAAAAATATATGTAGTTTGAAAAATACACTCTTTTACAATGTGTAGAGTACCATTTAATGCATCTCTGTAGTGTTGATTATCAGAATAGCATTTATAAATGATCAACATAATCTAACAAATGGTACCCTAAACTGAGTCTACGTAATATGGTAAAGGGCGGAATTATCCCTTGTCAATAAATCTCAGAAGAGCAAATGGATAATTTAGCTAAAAAATGTGGTTCACAAAGTGGAGTTGGGCCAAAATGATCTGTACTAGGGCTTTCTACTGAGTATACTGGATAATTACTATTCTGTTCTCTTCACTTTGCATTCTTAGGCCAATGCGAGAAATTGCTATCACACCAGATAACTAACTCATGCTGTGTACTATAAATCATCTAGCTATAAAAATTCCTATTTTCAAGACACTTTTATCATTGTTTCCAAAGTGTGAATATTAAGAAAGAAGAATCTCCACGAAAGTATTGTGCCACTGTGAGGGAGTTAAGTGCAAACTGTAAGAATCTGGTATATCTTGAAATGCAGGGAGGAGATCTCAACAACAGAGTAAGAGGCATATTTAAGTCAGTTAGTAGTCACTATAACTGGATCCATTATTTTGTTTGATTTGTTCATTTCTCTACTATTTTACTTAAAATTATAATTTATATCTGTTTTACTGGGACTTCTCTATTCCCTGCTCTAGTTTTCCTCCTAAGATCATGAATAAGTATATTTCATTTGTGTTACTCATTGTCTTTCTTCCCTCACTAGAATGTTAGCTTTAGGTGGGGAAGGATTTTTTTTTCCCTACCGTATTAACTGCTATATTGCAGAGCTTTCAAGAGTCTTTGACTATTTATAGAGTGAGAATAAATTAAGTTAATTTGAGAGTAAATTCATTATTTCGATTGAATTTATCAAACAATCTTAAAAACATAAAATGAAAATTCAGAAGGCATTTTAAATATTTAACTTGCTTAAATCTTCATCTGAATGATTTATTTTGTTTCATTTTTAAATAACAGCAGAAAAGAAACACAGGAAACATACATAATGAAGAACTTTGAAGAAAAAAACTAGCATATTAGATACCTTTAAACAATGTAGTCTGCCCATCTGCACTAGAATGTTTATAGCAGCACAATTCACAATTGCAAAGATGTGGAAACAGCCTAAGTGCCCATCAATACATGAATGGATTAATAAAATGTGGTATATGTATACCATGGAGTTCTACTCAGCCACAAAAAAAATTGGTGATGTAGCACCTCTTGTATTATCTTGGATAGAGCTGGAACCCATTCTACTAAGTGAAGTATCACAAGAATGGAAAAACAAGCACCACATGTACTCACCGTCAAATTGGTTTTAACTGATCAACACTTAAGTGCACTACAGTAATAACATTCATCGGGTATCTGGCAGATGGGAGGGCAGAAAAAGGGATGGGTATATACACACGTAACGGGTACGGTGCACTGTCTGGGGGATGGAC